AATAGTAACTTGTATAATTAATAAATTTTAAACTAAATTCAAATTGTTTAACTCATTTGTTACATATAAAATTAAAAATTTATCATATTTATTATATTTAATATTTATATAATATTAATAATTCTTGAAAATAAAAGTAAATATACAAAATAAATTGAAAGTAAAGTAACTTATCATATAAATAAAAAATTCATACACAATAATAGTAACTTGTATAATTAATAAATTTTAAACTAAATACATAAGAAATGTCAATAACTTAAACAGTTTATTGATCATTTTCTTCTACTGAAAGTAAGAGATCTTGAATTTGAATTGCATAACATGTGAGTGGGACGAGATAAAAGATAAGAAATGATTGTCTCTTTTTTTACAATCAAGATAAAAAACTAAAAAACATAAGAAATATAATAATAATAATTCATAAAAGACATTTTCATTTCTTAAACTAAATATACATACCTACAAGTTATCTAATATTTCTTAGATAATATATCAAATATAAATCTTTAAATAAAATACCTAATCTAAAAAATTATACTTAAAAAATTTAAATTAAATACCAAATATAATTTATTCCATATTTGTAACAAGAAATGTTAACCCTACTAGGAAAAGAGCCCGCTACATTTCCCTGGCCCGAATGTAAATTCACGGGCGCGTGAATATCATTACCCGCGTCCTCGAAAATCTCTCAAACGCCAACAGTCCGTTACCCTCCGGGACTCTGATACTGTACTGAGCTGCTTCCTCAGAAAACCTCAAAATCTGATTTCCATGGCGGTCCTCGGATCTATGAATCTAGATTGAGCTGCTCCAACTTAATTTTTCTCCTCTTTTCCATTCCTATTTACTAATTTTCTGTTTTATTGTTATTATTATTATTATTATTGTTTTTATAAACGGTAGCCATGGCAGCCCTGGCCGCTCCGATTTCTTCTTCATGGATACCTGAAGATGACCTCCTGTTGAAGAACGCCATCGAGGTAATCCTCTTGAATCCCTTTTCGACCAATTTTCTTCGAATTAGATCTCAATTTTGAGTTTCTTAATTGCTCGCTGCAAAACCCTAGATTTTTCCTTTTCATTTTGATTGCGATAATGTGATCGCTCAGTCTTAATTAATTGTGCAGGTTTGTAATTATGAACAACTAGAAATTGAAACCTAGATATTGCTGTTTGGATTTGTAATTTGATTTTTTTTTTTTAAATATGTTTCATGCAATTTATAGTTGAGGATGTAATTTGTTAATTTCTTTTACAATTATAGGCTGGTGCTTCGTTGGAAGCACTTGCCAAAGGTGCAGTTCGATTCTCTCGCAAATTTACTGTTAAAGAATTGCAAGACCGTTGGCGTTCTCTACTTTATGATCCTGTTATTTCTGCTGAAGCATCTGCTCGAATGTTTGAGGCTGAACAGTCTGGGAATAATCCGTTGTCAAAGTCTCATAAAAATGTTACTTATTTGGACAATGCACAAACTCCCGGTAAAAGAAATTTTGATAGCATTAGAAGAATGTATTATTCCATGAGGAAGAGAATTTGCACTGCACCTCGGAACTCAAGCAGTATAAGTTTTATTGATTCAGTAAATGCTAATGATTGTGTTGACTCTGGAGATGGTTACCAAGAAGGTACAGAACTTCATGATGAGAACCCGACCGAGGGTTATGCACTTCAGGGTTACATTCAAAACCATTTTGGGTTTCAGGAAAATATTCAGCATCATGGACCACATGATATTTTGGAAGGAAATCCGATGAATGATTGCTTTAATGAGTTTCCTGAAAAGGAGCAACCCTCATCCATGAAGGAAGCCGTTATGATAGAGAGTCTTCAACATGATAATGCACGTGAAAGCTCTATGCATGTTGTTGCAGAGCCTGTAGTTGACTTTGGGAAAGGCTCTGGTGTTGAGGAAATAGCACCCTGTCATGCTTTTCCAGATAGTCATGCTTCATTTAACTTGGTGGGATATTCATCTCCACAGCCTCGGGCATGTCCCTGGAAAACAATGGAGGATGTTCCAGCTCCTGTGATGCCAATAAATGATTGCTCCGGAGAGAATAAAGGTTTGGATTCTGGAGAGAGAGTTATGCATATTGATGACATGGATGACAAGAGAATAAGTTCATCTGAATGTAATGTTGTCAATTCTGAACACATGTTAAAATCAAGACATTCAAGTTTAGAGATGAATGGTTCAACTACTGCCTCAAGAGGTGATTTCGGTGATCTTTCAGACGGTCTGTTAAACTTTGCTGAGGAGAATGAGAATATTTTCTTGGACACAGTTGGGGGAGACACACTAGATAAATCTTGTTATGATCCCATTAATTCACTTCTTGTAAGTTCTCCTAATGATGTTCATGAAAATGATATGCCAAATGCTAAAGAACGTAAGACATTAGTTTCAGATACATGCCATGGCATGCCCAATGATGAATGTCTTGCAGAGTTTGAAATATTTCTTGTCAACCAGTCACATTCTGCACATAAAAAAGAGAGAGGTATTTCTTGTTCTGAAGCAAATGTGCCACCATTGAAATCAGTAGCAGATATTTCTAGTCCTGAAGCAAATGTGCCCACATCCACATCACTACCAGGTCCTCATTCTCCTGAACTTCATCACAAAGTGATCTACTGCACATTGAGCACTGAAGACCCTGAAATTCCATGCAATGATCATGTTTTCTTTGGGAAAGCTTCTGCTATGCCTGCATCGCAAATAAGTTGCCAGGAGACTAGTGACCAGGCTTCCACCTTTGCCAATAAGAAAACCAGTAAAGGAGAGCTAAGCCGAATGAAGTCAGAAGATAATGTCACTCAAGCTTTTACTGCTCCCAAGTTGGGGAGACTAGACACTTTTTCAGAGACCATTAGACGCGTCAAAGTGGAGTCTCATGATGCTGAATATCATGCAATGAGTGGACAGGCTAACAATGCCCTCACAGAGCCAGGCCAACTTGGATCATCACATGCATTTGCAAGCACTGCTGCAGATGATGGAATAAAGGAGGATCCTTCACGTGCATGTAATGGTAAAGACATGCAAATGCTTGCAGAAACCATTGGAACTGCATTGGTTCCAGCAGAAAACCCCTCAACATCAGATCTGGAACAATATGAGAGCAATGATGACGTGCCTTGCTTTTCTGATATTGAAGCAATGGTAAATCTTAAGAATTGTGTTAATTACGAGACTATTTCCTGTTATCTTTTGTATTCATGTCTATGTTCTTCATAATGAGATTTTTTTTTTCTCCCTTTACTCTCAGGTACTTGGCATGGATTTATGTCCAGAAGATTCAGATTTGTGCATTAGTAGAGAAGGTAAGTCATTTACGGTTATGGCAATCAGTATAACAATGTTCGTGTTCGTGTTCTTGTTTGACTTCATAAATGCAGTTCTTCATATGTGCATTTGAAAAATAAATTTATGAACTACAATATTTTGCTGTTGCATACTTAGAATTTCCATTTCTGCTTGTATATTAGTTAAAGCAATTTGATCAATAGTTCCACTTATGGGAATAATTTAACCAGCCAATATGAACAGAATAACAAGATTGACTGATTGCCATTAAATTGAATGTGTTGCACCCCTTTTGAATTTGATTCTTTTGAATCTAGTTGCTAGGTATCAACCTGAAGGTGCTAAGAGGACAATTCTAAGGTTGGAACAGTGTGCTCATGCTTCTCTGCAGAGGGCTGTTGCATCTCAAGGTGCATTTGCTGTGTTCTATGGCCGTCGTCTGAAACATTATATTAGGAAAACTGAGGTAATTTATTCTCAAATGTTTCATTTTAATCACTATGTTGTTTCTTTTCTTTCTCTTATTCATTTATTTAAAAACTCTATAAGCAGAATGTTGACTTCAGACGTTTTTTTCTTTAGAATTCTGGTGAAAAATCCATAATACAGTTGATAATCGTACTTTAAGGAGATTATTTTCTAATTATGGAATGAGTGAGAAATTTTCAAGAGTTGTTTTCTCTTTTTATCTCATTTCTTTCCTCTTTTCATCTTTATCTTTGTTAAAAGATCCAATCTTTTCTCTCCTTTCTCTCTTGATTTCCTCAGCTATTGATTTCCTACCCTTTTATCCTATTTGTTGTTTATTTTGTTACTTTAAGAACCATCATTGACTGCATCAGAGCGCTTAGCTGTTTGCTCATCATTTTACGGCCACATTAACGTGGATGCAGAAAATCACTGCACAAGTAGCACTGGATCTACATTATAGGGCAAAGTGTTGTTTGCCATTATATCCATGTTTGATTTGTTCATTGTATGTAGTCTTCGCGTGACCACTTTCTACTTTGTAGGTCATGCTTGGCAGAGCAACAGAGGATGTTGGTGTTGATATTGACTTAGGACGAGAAGGACGCGCCAACAAGATTTCTAGACGGCAGGTGGGACTTTTATGGTTATTGTTATAATTGATGCAGCTTTCCATGTTTGTATTTGTTGGAAAGGAAAGAAATAACCTCTTTCCATGTTTGCATCTGTCGATAAGGGGAGATATATATATATATATATATATATATATACTGGTGTGTTACTAAGGAAATGGAGAGATACTTTCTAATCAGATTAGGGTGCTACAAGCTCTCCTTTAGGAGTTAATGTTCTGATTTTAGTGTTATTTCCCCCTCAGAGTTACTTTAATATTTCAATTTGGTAGCACAAGACCATTTTAATATTCAACCTGAGGATAATTTCATCACTTAAACAGCATTTATTCCTCGTGTTGGGTTTTTTCTGTAAAGACTTCTTGATTGCTTCTTGCGGCATTTTATACCATTTTTAAAAGTATATTTTTGTACTCTTATGCTGCTTGCATTTTTCTACAAGTGTAATAGTTTCATTATTTTTGGTAGGCACTTATAAAGATGGAGGAGGATGGTTCCTTCCATTTGAGGAATCTTGGCAAGAATTCAATGTTTATCAATGGAAAAGAAGTTTCCACCAGACAGAGGATTGGTCTTAGTTCTAGCAGTTTGATTGAGGTACATGGTTTCCTGTATGAAAACAATATCTCTGTAGATCAGTTTCCTACTATTTTAATTATCCACCATGTTTCTGCTGTTGAATTCTATTTTGTGTTTATATTGATCAGACTCCTGTTTTCCTTGATAACACAAATTAATACTGGTTTGCAGATTAGGGAAATGGCATTTGTCTTTGAAATAAATCACAAATCTGTGAGGCGTTATCTGGCAAACATGAGCGAAAAGAATCTAGGAAAGAATTCCAAGTTTGAATGGAAAGATGAGCAGGTTCGATGAATAAATAACTTCCCGTGGGTACTTTATGTTTAATTTCTTTTCAGCTTATTTTGCATAAGTATGATCAGAGCTCTGACAAGAAAAGAAAAGAAAAAAAAAAGAGCATTTGGGCCGTACCCGCATGATTTGATTTTCTGATCGGAGTTTTGAGTCCTAGCCGACCATATATTGTGTCATGTTGATACATGTATAAAATAATAGCTGATCTTCCCTTTCAAGCAGAGAAAATATATAAAGAATAGTTATGTATGGTTCTAGATTTTTATCTCCTCTCCTTACGTCCTCTCTCTATGCTGGTGACTGATATCTTCTCAGTTAAGTTCATTGCCATTTAGTCCGGGAGACATAGCATGCGCACATGTTTTCACTCTTGCAGCATTTCTCCCACTTGTCTAGTAGTTTTATAACTCCCTGCATGGTGATACATTCTGGTGTAACTGAAAGTATGATTCAGTAGTCAAATCCTAACTGCTAAGTCCCATATTTTAAGCATTGATATGGTTTGACCGCTTGCTGCAAAGGCATGGTATTTATCGTGTTTTTAGCAAACAACTCTTGTGGTCTAGTGCCAAAAAGAGAAAAACCTGGTCTACAATTTGGTTATGTTATGTGCACATAAATAACTCCTCATTAAAGCTTAATGCAATGTATGCCAGCATTCATGCATTGCATGTGAGTACAAACAATTTGTTTTTAGTTGCGCCAAAATAATGAATTAGGAATTATTGGAAAATTGTGAGTTTAGTGAGTGTCATGTCAGGTTACTGGGACCGTAATGCCATTGCGAGATCAGAACTTGAAAGCAGATGGGACTGCCAGATGCTGCAATGGAAATTATGGAGAGCATATATGATGGCAAATCGGTAATGATTCTTTACGCTGCTATAGATAAATATGGCACGCCCTTCTTTTTCTCTCATATCAAAAGAGTAGGGAAGCAAAAGGCTGTCATATATGCACTTATACGGTCTTTAAAATCTGCCTGTCATTGATGATGGATGGTATTTGGTGCTTTAATGCTTTTACCCCGAACATTTTACGTTGCTTTCAAGTTCAGTCAAAGTCCAAAGACCCGAAATTGGGACACGTTTGTAAGAGAAGTCAAGAACCGTTGCTTTTCTTCACCCTGCCTTTTATCGATTCTATTTCCTAGTTGTGTTATTATTGTAGCTGGAACGTAAGAAAAATGTTTGTTAGGAGAAGTTGCGCAAAACCTGTAGTTCTTACTCATGGTGTAAAAATTATTGCACCAGGAGGTTAGGATTCCTCAAGAAACAGTGTGGCAAGGCGTTGGATGTACCGAATGCGAATCTTCATCCTGGAAATGATTTGGCTCTCCAAATGTTTATTGAAATTTGATGTGTAGTTTCGTCGCTAGCCATTATTTTGTAAGATTTAAATTACTCTCTCAAGTTCATTTTATTTGTCACTATATGTATTTTTACGTAATTTCCTTTTACAATATATAAAAGATAATTCGAAATTTTTTTATCAAAATAAAATTACTTAATAAAAATTACTTATTAAATTTTTTTTGAACAACTATAATTTTTGAAGAATTAAAAAGGAAAATGAGACTAAAATTTCTTAATTCTTAATGCAATAAATAATAAATAATATCGTTTTCACTCACTTCGCAGGTAGTTTCACTTATTAAAAAAATTTAAATCATTATTTATACTTATGTAATATAAAAAGGCATCACTTAAAAATTTGTGCGTAACAATGGACTCGAAGTAGTAGATGCGTAAACCTTGATCTTTAGAAGCGATGCTTTAAGGGCGGGCATCTGAGTCTTCTCTCGCTCAACAACTACTCATTGCTCTCTTTTTTATGAATCATAATTAGAAATCTACTCATTGGTTTCTAGAGGACAATGCCACTCTTAATTAAAGAAAACGGGGACCAAATTTTCTCTACAGGTCGAACTCTATAACAATGGGACACGCTTACGCTGTAGCCGGTTGAGGAAATATACCTCAAATGGACGTTTTACGCTTGAAGTTTCCATGTGAAATTTAAAGCAAAGCACCAATTTTGCGAAAATATCAATAACGAAATTACTACTCAATAAATTCGTCAGATCTCAATTGTCGATCCCGTGGACCATTTTATGGCATGAAAGTATTATATTTATAATAATATGTTACATAATTAGTTTATAAAATGATTTTTTATTATATAATTAATTTTTTAAAATTTATATGTGATTATTTATTTATTATTATATTTATTTATTTAATATTAATTTATAATTATAAATTTATAAATTTATATAATATTATAAGTATAGTATTATTGTTTGATACCATTTAAGAGCATTTATAAAGCTTTAAAAGATAAATATTATTAATAACTTAAAATTGAAAGCTTCAAAATTTTAAATATTTTGATATAATTCTTTCTTATTTCTTAATTTTCTACATTTTCATTTTTACTGCCTAAATTTAAAATTTTTTATTTTTAAGAGAATTATATTAATATAAAGCAACCACTTGTTTTATATAGGTTTCTCAAGTCATTTAAGTCTTTATTATATTATTTTTATAAAGTTGAATAAAGAAATTATAAACATAAATCAACTGTACGAATTATCACTTAACGACACACATTTTTTCCTAATGTGTCATCATTAATAATCACATCATTGTGTTCTCAATATAATCCAATTTTATGCACTTGGCACTTAAGGTATAGTGATATTAGTTATTGGTGCATCCTCCCATTTACGGACAGAGTTCGAAACCGTCACTTGCAAAATATGTTAAATATATATATATATATATAATCCAATTTTCATTTTTCTTTTTTTCTTTTTTTGTAGAAATATAATCCAATTTTTCTCTACCAAAGAAGATGTGATGCAGGACAACAACCCAGGTCCAAGACAACTCACTTTCCCCACCACACCAAAACATCACTACATAATCACCCAAGGTGTCGCTACTTCAACAAACATCATTTTTGTTGGAAGTTACATCATTTTCGTTCCAACATCTCTCTCACTAAATCCATTCAAAACCATCCAAATTTAAATACGGACTTCAGTGGTAGCTCTGACACCTTCCCGTGAAACCCCTCACAAAAACATCTCGCACTCGCACCCGTACCCACATTAACCCATCCCTCTCTTGCCTCCCATTGTTTTCCAAACGGACGGCTCTGCATTTCCGCTTCACTTTCTCGGTGAAATTCACAGATGGGTACTCCCAATTCCTCCGTTTCCTCTCTCCTTCTGGTGGTGGTTACTGTGGTGGGTCTGTTGAGGATGGCAGAGATGAAGACATATTGGGGAGATGTACACGTGCTGAAGGAACTGAAAAATGGACTAGATCCTAACTCAGTGAATCCAGGCTCGTGCTTGAGTTCGTGGGACTTTGGAGTGGATCCATGTGACAGCCTCTTCAGCGAAAGGTTCACCTGCGGGTTCAGGTGCGATGTCACGGTGGGCGGGGTGAGTCGGGTCACGGAACTCACTCTTGACTCGGCTGGTTATACGGGTTCGCTCGGTTCCGCTTCTTGGAACCTCCCTTTCCTGCAGACACTAGACCTCTCAAACAATTTCTTTTCTGGGCCAATCCCCGAGTCGTTCGGCAACCTGACTCGTTTAAGTCGACTCGGCCTGTCAAGTAACTCACTCTCCGGTGAGATACCCGCCTCGATTGGGTCGCTTTCGAGCCTTGAAGAGCTGTATCTCGATAACAACAACCTTCAAGGCGCCATTCCAGGGAGTTTCAATGGGCTTTTTAACTTGAAACGGCTCGAAATTCAATCGAACAAACTCTCCGGTGGGTTTCCCGAATTGGGTTCTCTCAAAAATCTCTACTTTCTTGATGCAAGCAACAATGCCATTTCTGGGTATCTCCCTGCCACACTGCCGCCCTGTCTGGTCCAATTTTCCATGAGAAACAACACCCTCCAAGGCACAATCCCTCAGAGTTTCAAAATTTTGAACTCTTTACAAGTATTAGACCTGAGCCAGAACAAACTCAGTGACTCTGTTCCTTACTTCCTCTTCACCCACCCATCTCTCCAACAACTCACTCTCTCCGCCAACTACTTCACCTCCGTCCAATCCCCATCAAATCTGGACCTCCAAAGCGAGCTCATAGCCATCGATTTGAGCGACAACCAACTTCAAGGTTTCTTACCCCCATTCCTGGCCCTCATGCCAAAGCTCTCTGCTTTATCCCTAGAGAATAACAAGTTCACTGGAATGATCCCCACCCAATACGCATTAAAAACAGTTCTCCCCGGAACCGGAGTCGCCCCGTTCGCCAGACTATTCCTCGGAGGAAACTACTTGTTTGGACCCATCCCAGCTCCATTAATGCAGCTGAAACCGGGCACTGCAAACGTGAGGTTAGCTGATAATTGTTTGTTTAGGTGTCCGATTAGCTTCTTCTTCTGCCAAGGTGGTGATCAAAAATCTCTGGTGGAATGTAGGAGCTTCAGCCCTGTAATTCCTTGATCGCTTCAGCCCTGTAATTCCTTGATTATAATTATTATTATTATTATTATTATTACAAAAGCGTTTTCAGTTCTGTCTTTTCCATTGTGTTTCTGGCTTGTGATCTGTTCTTCAATTTTCTTTCTCCTAGATTCATTTGAGTCAGAGAGAAAATCTAGTTCTTAATAACACTAGATTTAGATTTTTCCAGTACATGATGAAAGGGAAAGTGGGTTTACTAGATTTTTCCTGTAGTCTGACAAAAGGACGGTACATCAACGTGGGTTGTGGGGCTCGGGGTTTCACGAGATGGCTGGCTGGACCACTTATTCTCCCTTTGGATCGGCCCAGTTTGTGCTTACAATCATTGGGTCATTGTGGGGGTCCTTTAGTTGAGCCCGCCGTTTCTACCCAATCGGGCCCCGTTTACAATGGTCCAAAATTTATGCCTGGAAATAGAATCATATTACGGAGCTCCGTTTCCACCCAATACGGCATTGCATGTAGTATTCTTTAGTAGGATTCAAATTCAATCTATTGATTATACGGAGCACATTGCCATTTTCTGTAATCTAATTGTTTATAACATTCAGATCCTGGTTGTAGCATTAAAGCTTCAATGAGATCATCCTCGAAAGTCAAATTTGTGGTAAGATCAATCTGAATTCCTTATCTCACAAATTCCGATAAATGGTCGTTTCTGGGACATCCAAAGACCACTTTTTTTGGAGTATAAGAAAAGCCTGTATTATGTTACCTGCAGCAGTGACACACACACATGGCTAACTTCGCTGTTTCTTCAGACTCCAAGGACCGTCTTCTTCCCCACTAGTCTATCTCTCTCTCTTTCTCTCTACATATGTATACTGAAATTCTGTGTTCTGACTTCTGACCTCAAAATCGTCAATGGAGACTTCAGTTCTTCACAACAACAGCTTTTACCCTCCTTACTTATCCTTCTCTCTTTTCGGCCAACGTTATTGTAAAGATTCAGTTCACTATTGATAATCTCTGCTTCGACCGACATGATCTCACAATTTTAAAATATATTAATAAAAAGGTTAAAACCCCTTTTTGGTCCCTGAACTATTGTGCGGATCCCCGATTTGGTCCTTAAACTAAAAAAATCCTTGATTTAGTCCCTACTGTTTACCATTTTTACCCCGATTTGGTCTTTCCTTTAAATATCCACTTACGTGTCTTGTTACTTGACGGGAAAAGGATGACATGTTAAAACATTTTGACACCTAAGATGTACAGCGTGGCAAAAAAATGAGATGGCAAGAAACTACTTTAAAAATTTTCTTTTTTTTTTCTTTCTTTGTTTTTCTTTTTTCCCTTTCTTCTTCCTCTCCCTTTCCTTTCACCTTCTGCAAACCCTAACATTTCCTAATATTAAATC